ACATCACATAATGGCATATTCACATCGTATAATGTCATATTCACATCGTATAATGACATATTCACATCGTATAATGGCATATTCACATCGTATAATGTCATGTTCACATCATATAATGACATATTCACATCGTATAATGGCATATTCACATCGTATAATGGCATATTCACATCGTATAATGGCATATTCACATCACATAATGCTATGTTCACACCGTATAAATATAACATTATATGCACATTGTATATATATATGTATATATGGTTTATTACTATTAATATGCAGACCACTCGGCGTGTCCCCCACCAATCAAGCCGGAGATTTAACGATCAACGCAGCAGGTTCAATCTTGGGCCTAAACTGATAAAGGTGAACCTTCGTTCTTGAGTTGTAAAGGTCGCTCTGTGAACAATGTCTACGTCTGTCTGACGATTGTCCTCAGTGCACGTAAACAAACACATTGTCTTTGTTAGTACCCAAATGTAACAAATTACCGCGGAATGAATGATGAATTATCATTCTAAGGACCCTATATAACATAGTCTATGGCTTTACATACTTCAGTGAATATTGATTATTAATAGTAATAAACAAGTGGTGTGACCATTCATATCAATTTACAACATGCCTGGACATTTGCAATCTTTCCACCATCTGATTGTTTTTTCAATGTCACCGTGGGTTAAATTATAGGCAATAATACTTAAAACTTCACTCAATAAATATATATATAACTATAAATATTTGAAATATCACAATAAATGTTTCAGTATTTTTTTTTATATTTTGTGCTCGTGTACGCTCATCGGTTAAAGGGATGACTCAGTGAGCGGCAATACTCGTTAAGACCGCCGAATGAAAATATTCAAAGCCCGATTCAACTTTTCTAATACTTATATAATATTGTATTACTGTATATAGTACTATGACAACAATTCTAGACTATAAATCGTGTGGTCGTGTTCACATCGCATGTATATCCACCGCAGATCGCATGCAATGTCAAAACCTTTTAAGAAACATGCAACTCTCATCAGTCTAACCCATGAGTAATGAACACTTTTCACGAGTGAGTGTGGTGCATTCTGGTTACACATCTCACCTGAAGACGACGCCAGCAGAATAAGGAACGTGACCAGTCCGCCAAGCGTGCATACTCGATAGGAATCCATGTTTTCTTTTCTTCGCCCGCAGATTTATTATAACAATAAGGCTACAAACAATGGTTCACAAGTGTGTCACGTGACCATGTGACGCTCGCTATACCTGGTACCCGATATCGCTGACAGAATCAATTTCTATCAACGTACTTGACACGATATAAATGTCTCTATCCTTGATATGCTACTTACTGCGAATGATTGATTGTGTTTTCTACATAGATTTTTTCGCACAGGTAGAGAAACAAGTAGCTCGTACACGGGAAAGTAAATAAAAATAATAAAACCTTTTGTATTTGCGTACTACTATATACATCTGTGCTACAAATACACAAGCATTAATAAACAAACTATGATATATTGGTTGAGGTATGATCAATTTAATATATTATAATTTTTTTTAGATGGAACGAACTCGTAGAATTAATATGCATGTATTGTAAATAATCGTGAGTTCTTGTTTTCGAGATTTTTTTAATAGCAAAAGAGATGCACTTGTTTCTTCATCACAAAACACATTTAGCTTGACAAAAACATATACGAACATGGAGACTGATTAGCAATGTGTCAAACACCATGAACATGGAGATTGGTTAGTCAATGTGTAAAACACCATGAACACGGAGATTGGTTAGCCAATGTATCAAATACCATGAACACGGTGATTGGTTAGCCAATGTGTCAAACACGATGAACACGGTGATTAGTTAGCCAATGTGTCAAACACCATGAACACGGAGACTGATTAGCAATGTGTCAAACACCATGAACACGGAGATTGGTTAGCCAATGTGTCAAACACCATGAACACGGTGATTGGTTAGCCAATGTGTCAAACACCACGAACATGGTGATTGGTTAGCCAATGTGTCAAACACCATGAACATGGTGATGGGTTAGTCAATGTGTCAAACACAATGAAAA